CCATTGGTGTTGTCAAAATTCAGGTTGCTTTTTGTTATGTAAAGTTTGACATCCTTTTTCCTGCTGGCAGTGTGGGCACAATATTGTGCAGCAATACTGGGCCATTTCCTGCAGTTTTGAAATGTGTGTACAGAAGCAGAATATCCCACATTCATAATCTGGAGGGTTTTTTTAAAGAATTGAATTGACTGGCTTTTTAAAAATGGGAGTTTAAATATACATATGCTACCCACAAACCCAATCAGAAATTTCCCTCTTATAGAATTACCTAGTGGTAATTCTAGAAGATGAGCCAGAAGATGAGCATATTATCAGTACTATGGTTATTGAGATGACAGAAGTGAGAACTGCTTGGATGTGCTTAGTTTTCCTCTGTGCCAAAATATTTTGAAAGGCTATTTTGGATTTAATTAAATGGTGAAGCAAAGGTATGAGTAGGTACAAAGCATACAGTGCAGAAACATATATACTCAGTTTGGAGGTTAGTGCCATTTTGTCGGCATGGCAGCACAGGTACAGTGTGTTCACTTCCTCCATCCCTGCTGGCTTCCCCACTCACCAGCTGGCATGTGCTGCTTTTTTCCTGCTCTTTATGTGATTGCCCAGTCACAGCAGGAGCACAGATCTCCTTTCTCCACCTCCTCCAGGAGCTGCACATTCAGATGAAGACGTGGGGCAGGGATTCCTGCAGTGTTGCCATTGAGTGGGCAGTTGCTGGAGGAAGTGGAGAAGGGAAGTCCGTGCTCCTGCTGCAACTGGATGATTGCACAAAGAGCAGGAGAAAAGCATTTTGTGCCAGTTGGTGACTGGGGGAGATGACACCGCAACATCTATGGTGCCTGGGCAATGAAGTGGCATGAACTTCCAAACTGAGGTTCATTCTCATCTCTAATACACACCCTTTGACCTCTCGTTTAAACTAACGTTGCCATGCCCCCACCTCCAAATCCAGACTGGAAAGCTATGTTCCAGTTTCATATCCCTTTCTTTGACGTAAGCAAGTGGAAGAAGAAAAGCTGTATTGGACCAAAACTTCTATGGATATGTTGTGTACATGTTTTCCAAAATACGTCCTTTCACGTTTTGATTTTTTTTTTTTAAGGAAGAACCTGGAGTTAGCAAAGAATGTCACTGGAAAGCAAGATCAAAATCATACATACTATGTGAAAGGAAGATATTGAAGAAAGACAGGGGGAAAATCAAGTCATTCGAAATATGGTGTTGGTAGAGATAGAAAAGGCAGCAGAAAAGTGGGTGTTCAATCAAGTCAACTCTCACCCAAGCAAAAATGAGTAACCTGAATCTGTTGTATCATGCACATATAATATAAATGCAAACATTTTTAATGATTGAACTATTTGCATATCATAGCATTCTGACCAATTAGAATGTGTATGGAGTCATGATTTCTGTGTTCTAATCTATGGGCACAACTGGGGCCTATGACTTGCCAGTGGTTCAAGGATCATCCTGTGTGTATGTTGGGGGGGGGGCCTGCAGAGGAAAGCAGAATTCCTTGGCACTCAGGTTAGCATACATTAGTCAGTATTTGTAAGACTAGGCTGCTAGGTTATACAGTAATAAACCTCTCTTCCATAGGTCCTCCATAAATAATGCAGACCCTATAGATTTTGAAGGAGTCTAGGATTCACCCCAGCAGACATTTCTTCCCATATAGAAGACTTTTATTTGCTTTAGATACTTCTGAACATTTTGAAATATAATTCATCTGGGTACCCTTGTATACATGTTTCATCCCTCTTCTGGGCAGAAGAATAAGTTATAATTCATGGTGAATTAGTTCTATCTTCAGACTCTGTACCCCAACTATTTTTGAGCAGAAAATTGAATCTGCCAAGATAATACTCTTTTATATGCTTTTATTTCATATATATTTAATAGGCAAGAAAATGATCACTCCAAAAATATAAAAGCTTTTAATCATAAAGAATGCAACCAGAAGAAGATACTTTAGCTACTTTCTAAGGTCTAAAGAATATTATTCCAAGCCTTAAGCAGTTATAACAATTTGATGCATGTACATTCTAAAATAAAAATCTCCTACCCAAAGAATTAAACCAGCCAGCTTAAGTTTCTTTCATTGGTGACCATGTTGCTTCTTTTCCCCTTTGTCTCTCATCTACTTTGTCAAAAATGGGCTGTACTTATTTGATTTTCTTCTGTCAATAAACTGAATCTTATTTATTTGCAAGACTAGCTTGTTTCTGTCAACATCATAAGATTGTTGACATTAAGATCCTTGTGTAGCAGGAATTTCTAAACAAAACTTTTATTTATTTATTAACACTTATTTATTTATTTATTCAACTTATATGCCGCCCACTCTACCCAGGGCAGCTTACAACAATTAAAATACAATTAAAATACAATAAAAAGATAAAACAATTGAAATACAATTAAAATAGATACTCTAAAAATTGCCATCAGGACCCACCGTTGATATTATTTCAATTAAAAGCCTTCTGGAACAGGAAGGTTTTGACCTGGCGCCAAAATGTCATCAGCGCCAGACAAATCTCAGTCGGGAGGGCATTCCATAGTCTGGGGGCAGCTGCCGAAAAAGCCCTTTGTCTACAAGCCATCCCTCTTACCTCCTTGAGGGATGGCTCTTTCAAAAGGGCCTCATGGCTAGATCTTAACTGCTTAGTAGGCTCATATGGAAGGAGGCGGTCCTTCAGGTATCCAGGGCCCAAGCCGTTTAGGGCTTTATATGTCAAAACAAGCACTTTGAATTGGGCCCGGGCAGCAACTGGTAACCAATGTAATTTAATCAGAATTGGCTTAATATTTCTCGTAGCGGCCCCACCACTCACCAGCCGCACAGCTCGATTCTTGACCAGTTGCAGTCGCCGGACTGTCTTCAAAGGCAGCCCCACGTAGAGACAGGAACGCCAACCATATCAGACAGATAATCTCCCAGAGCATTCAGGAAACCATCCGGATCCATTAGTCTCCGAGGGTGGATCATCTTAATAGATCCCCCACCCTTGCAGAGGGAAGAAGAAGCTAATAGACTGAACTTGACCAGGAAGTGATCCGACAATGGGGTCACAATCAGCCCGTCCACATCCAAACCACCATCTTCCAGTCCCATTGAGAAAACCAGGTTCAAGGTATGGCCCTTCTCATGTGTCGGACTGATGATATATTGATACAGCCCTATGGTTGTCATGGCAACCATGAAGTCCTGAGCTGCCCTGGTCAAGGCAGCCTTGGCATGGATGCTGAGGTCCCCTAGCACCAACAGCCTGGGAGTCCTCAACACCAGGTCCGAGACTACCTCCATCAGCCCAGGCAGGGAGACTGTTGGCACGCAGCAGGGTGGGTAGTACACCAACAGAATCCCTAATCTGTCTCGTAAGCCCAACACACAAAACAGGCCCTCAAGACCTCCTCTCAAAGGGATAGGAAGCCTGGTCAAGGACATAGAACTCCTGTAGACTATAGCAACCCCCCTCCCCGACCCTCCGAGCGTCATTAGTGCTAGACTGAGTACCTAGGCAGACAAAGCTGGGAGAGGGGGACACCACCCTCCTCTCCCACCCAGGTCTCAGTAATGCATGCCAGGTCAGCACCCTCATCCAGAATTACATCGTGGATGAGGGCAGTCTTATTTTGTACTGAGCTGGCATTCATCAACAGCACAGTGTGGCTCAAGAGTTTGCTGATATGGTCACCCGATACCATCTGGTTGGGGGTAGGACTAGAAGAGGGGATAGATGTAAGATATCTAACCTCTCTTCTCCTATGTGGGCATGTTCTACACCCACTGCCATTCCTTCCCCTACCCAGCACCTCCTCAATGGCTGCCCCCTCCAACACCCTCCCCATTTCCTGTTCCCTCAGATCCACTGTGGGTCTCGATGCAATCTGATGGCAATTATTAATAACAACTAAACAATAACAACACACCCTTCTAAAGCCCCTTCTCCCCTCTGAGCCAGGTGGCTGATGTTGAGGATGGGGTGGGGCAGCCAGAAGCAGCAAGGGCCCAGTCCTGCAAGGCCAAAGGAGTCCAGGCCAAACTCCCCCAGGACACTGTCTCTCACCCAGTGCCTGAGGGATGGCAGATGACAAAGAAGACTCCCCCAAAGGCAGGAATGCTGGTCCATCTTTCATGGACATCTTTCATGGTTTTCCATGAGACTGTTCCAAAAGACTGTTAATCACAATCTTTTTATCCTGTCTGAAAAAGGCACCCCAAACCTTGGTTGATTATCTTGCTGTACCAGTGTTATTCTCAGAGAAAGAAGAAGAAGAAGCAGTTTATCTTGCTATCAGGGCAGAATTAAAAACATATAAACATATTATATTTTATTGCCAGCTACCATCTAAGCAAAATAATGAAAAAACCTCTACAAGTATATATTCTCTAGGTTTTGCTGCTGTCTTGAGCAGTTTTTGGAGCATGTTTACATCCAAAAAAGTTAACTTTGACTTCTTCCCAAGTAGTTTAGATACTAGCATGTTTATGTTTGACATATGTTGTAAAAAGGAGCTTGCTTTCAGTACTTCTAATAGTAAGAAAAACTGTGTTTTCTCTCATGGTGACACTAAAACATTTAGTAAACTTCATACATGTTCTCAGAAGACAGCAGAACTTTTGACGGCACAGAAGCAGCTAAAATGGCTCAGAGATTCAGGATCAAAAACATTCCGTAATCTTGACTGTGGGCAAAAGCCAAGCTGCTTGGGAAAAAAAAGCAATTTTGAATAAACAGAATCTCATTATCTTTGACAAGACCAAAAAGTTAAAAAGAAAGAAAGAAAGAAAAAGAAGGAGGAGAAAATGGTGTTGACTCTTAAGCAAATGCAAGGGATTACATTCAGAAAATTGTTTCTTCTGATACAGGGCTTCCCCCCACCCCAGTGGAGGAGTCTCTCTCTAGGAGAAAATTGTATTATTTAGATTGGAGATTGGGAACCTGTCCCTGTCCAGGTGCTTTGCACCACAGATCCCACAAACCCTTACCACTGACGTTGTTTGTGTTGGTGTGGGGTCAACTCCAGAGGCTTTATATGGCTATTGCCTCTCCAAAAGCTTGGAGTCAGATTGGATACGAAACTTGTAAGAGCACTCTGTCTGGAAAAAACAAAACTTGGAGCTAAAGACAACAAGTTACACAGAGCCTCTTCTCTAGCTGCTTCAAATCCTCCTCTTCATTAGCAGAGTAAAGATGCAGATGTAAGAAAATGCAGCAAGAATTCTGATACAACTTCTATCATAATATATTAGCCTTGGTTAGACATAAATACATGGCAACATAAACATTGCCATAGACTTGTCAGAGCAACATTATATTCACATTCAAGTAGTATACATTGCCATAGACTTCTCAGAGCAACATTATATGCACATTCAAGTAAAGCAAATGACCACCAGACTCACAACTGAGTGGCAAAATGGGGCTCTCATACACTTGCTTATATACTGAGAGCAGCCTGTCACTGTACACATGGCAGCTGAACATGTTTAACAGGCATTACCTAAGCTTGTCCTATCTGTATACTATCAGTCATCCATTGGCTTGACGTTACAGGAAGGATTTTGCATTCTCTACTACAATATTACATTTAACCCCTTGTTCACTTAAAGGAACAAATTCTGACAGTTTGCAGAGACTTCTGCAGGTTGAAGTCCAAAACATCTGGAGGGTCAGACAAATCCCAATCCTGCTCAACAGGATATTCTCTCTTTCAAAACAAGAAAATATTTAGATGTGACTCATCTGACGTCATGCTTCCTGGGGATACAAGAGTACACCACTGTATCATCTGGAGGAATGATTGTGTTTAATTGCTATATAAAGTTATTTCACCATATTCACTGCTATTAGTATGTCAGAGATAGTCAACAGAGTCCTAATATTGTTAAATCTAGATTCAGAGATAGAACACAATCCTGTTAGGAGAAAATAAACAATAATGTAAAGGGAATGGATGGGATATATTTTAGCAATAAATGTGTGTACAGATAAAATAAGGGACAAATGTACCACTGGAGGATCTCATTTTCTATATTACTGGTTTGCACCGCTTTTTAAAACCCCCCGAAGATTCTGGGATAATAGAACAAAGTATTGCCCTCACTCATGATGATGCCACTTGGTAGCATTTGAAGCCAGGAGGGAAGAGGTTTTATAAAAAATTGCTTCAACAGAGGAAAAACTGAAAAAGTTACTACAATCCTGGATGGAGGATTCTTGGCATCATGATGAAAACAACTTACTTTTCAAAGAGAGCCCCTGTTCCACTGAAGACATTTTAACAACAGCTACAGACTCAGCTTTTGAAGTGTACAATAATATACACCATATTTAGTGTCAGGAAAGGAGCACAAGGCAGTAGAAAAGAGCTAGATGCTGGATATTTTATAGTTTCCCCCTATCTTTGGCAAAATGGCAAAATCAATGGAAGAGAGTTGTAACATTCTCATCAAACATGGAGTTCAACTTACAGGCAACTTACAGGGAGCACTCAGGATTTTGAGTCAGCATGGACAGGGCAAGAGCAGACCATGATTTCCTCTTCTTCACACATGATAGAACCATCAGCACAGTGCAGAAGTACACTTAGCTAGCTGTAGGTGAGCAAGTGCCCACTATAGCTACTAATGATGCAGAGATTAGGGCTTTGTGAGGTAATGGCATAAGTGTTTATGATGCACTGACACAGCCTATGACAAGTACCTATAAGCTTGCATGACAAGTCTTAGCAGTAACTCTTACTTCCTGGTAGCATACTGGCTCCATTTCTGTGGATTCCTGCCTGTCTAGCAACTATCACACAGAAATGCACTCAAGGTATTAGGTTTACCTCTAAAATAATGGGCCACAATGGTGTTCAGTAATGAATTACTGGAGGACATTCGTCAGCAATCTGATACCTGTTTGTTGGCTTGTCCAATTGAATGAAAGGCCATCATGCAATATTTACCCATCAGCTGGGATCAGAGATGGTCAGTCCCTGTTAGTGGATATAAAAACATGCCTTTTCTACAATCCTTGCTAGAGATGGGGACGATTCACCATTTGGTGAGTCATCCTGCTTCGTGAATCCTCAAAAGTTGATGACTCACAAGGCACAAAGTTGCCCCCATGAATCGACGAATAACGAATTTATTCATCGATTTGTGGGGGGTTGGTTAAAAAAACACCCCAAGTGCCCTGTCAACCTTAAGTGATGTCACCAACTGAAAATGAGTAATTCTCACTGGACAAGACAGTGTGCTGGATGTCTTGGCTCGATCTACTAGTTTCAAATAGGGGATTAGGTCCTGGCAGATGGCCTCCACTTTAGTTTTAAAAAGTGCTTCAAATTGGTCAGGTGAGATACTAGGGGCAGGCCAATCACTGTGCCCAATTCCAGATAGATTGCATACTATGCGAAATAATTCCTCCTGCTGATTGGAAGCTTTGCTTATCCAGACAGCGAGGTAAGCTTTCTTTGCGGACTTTATCTTAGAAAGGTAAAGGTTAGATACTAACAGCTTTTAGGTTATTTCCCACTGGGTTCTTCCTCCAAATGCTCTCCAGTCTTCTCCTGTTCTGCTTCATAGCTCTCAGCTGCTGGTGAAATGAGGGTGCTGGTCAAGCTCTGCAGTGAGAGGATGTTTAGGAGCGATTGTGTCTACAGCCCCAATGGTGGCAGCAGACCAGCCATCAACCAGAGCCTCAACAGGAGCCAGCCAAATCAATCGGTATCCCTCTCATGGAATCCTCGAATCCTATGGGATCAAATAGCCTGTGAGTGCGGATCAATAAAACAGATCCCTGCTCCCTGTGGGGGAGGGGAGAGAGCCACTGTGAGGTTGTATTTTATTAGGTGGTAATCCGACCATGACAAGGGTACCGACTCAAAGACACAGGGTTAGTCACCATCAGACCACACTCTCTCTGCTCAGAAGAGAACACCAGGTCTAGCATATGACCACTCACATGGGTGGGGACGTTAACATGTTGGGACATGTCTAAGGAAGCCATGGTTTCCAAGAACATAAGAGTCGGACCAGAAACATCCACCTCCATATGGATGTTGAAATCACCCAAGACAAGTAGCCTTGGGGATCCCAACAAAGCTGCGGAGACTAAGTCCGCCAGCTCCAGTAAGGAAAAGGCTGGATCACGGGGAGCATGGTATGCCAGCAAGATCCCGATACCATCCCTGGCCCCAATCGACACATGGAAGGCCTCCAGACCAGGTGTTGCCACAGCAATGAGCCTAACAATCTCCAGAATGTTTCTATCAACAATGGCTACATCCCCCTGCCCCCCCAGTCTACCCTGGTGTTGGACAGCATAACCGGGAGGACAGACAAAGGACAGAGGAATAACCCTGTCACTGCCCATCCAAGTTCCAGTTATGCATGCCAGATCTGCATCCTCATTGAGAATAAGATCGTAGATCAGCTGGGACTTATTGGATACAGATCTAGCATTCAACAATGTCAGGATATTGTAATTTTTATAGGCCTGAATCTGTATAAAATGTGTTATTAATGAACTGCCATTATGAACAGATGTGTGACTGCTGAGTCACTGTGACTGATGAAGAGATGATGCAATGTCTGAAGATGAGATGACACCCAGGTGCAGAAGATGATGTAATGTGTCCTGTGATTGGACTGAAGAAGCCTTGTATATGTACATAAGAGAACAGTGTGTTCATAGATTTCTCTTTTCTCTCTATCACTTGCTACTATCCTCTATGCCGGTTTGTCTAATGATTTCCTGCCATGCTGAAGTGCTGTCAGCCTGTATATATTTGTAAATATTATAAAATACACCCGTTTTGCTAAAGAAGAAGAACGTGTCAGTGTCTTCAATTAACTGCGTATTTTCCTGTCGCCAAATCCTGACAAACAACACCAGTTTTAGAGCGGAGGGCCGACTGAGTGGGCTACCTCGAGCCTGACAGGTGGTCACAGAACCAGAACAGTGGGCAGCCTTCAAACATTTGTCCACTGTTCTTCTGGAACAAGTGGCTACTGTGCAGTGCCATATCTCCCTCTACCCATAATCACCCAAAAAGTTAAAGGACCCTGGCTGGGGGCGGGGGAAGCCTTCCTCTCCAGTCCAGAAAAGAAAAAGACCATGTAGGTCTAATGTTGAGTGCCTCCACCTTCTAAACTAGGGGATTGTGCCTCAACTTTAATGTCCCTCCCCCATTTAATGGCCATGGCTCACTTGAAATTTGAGAAATGTTTAGGCATTAGGGAAAGAAGATCATTTTTATTTCCCCAAGATGGTTGTTTAAGACTCACATTTTAAATATTTTCTATACCATTCTGCAATTGCAAATTCCCATGATGGTCTGCATGCCTAATTTTAAAAAGCTAGAAAAAGTTTAAAAAGAAAAGAAAAGAAAAGAAAAATAATGATTTTTAAGTAGCTTAGCACTTCTGATCATTTTAAACTGTTCCTGGTCTTTTCAGGATTGAAATTTTGTTGGCATTTTTGTTTTCAGTTGTTATTGTTACCAATTTTAGAAACACTTATAAGCTGCCCTGGACTTTTATTTGAGAGCGGGGATGGAAATATTTGAAATAAAGAGCTCTAACTCCCTTGATGATAGGGTAATTGTTGAAATGACAGTGTTTTTTGACAGAAACATTAGAAACTGCAATGCATCCTACGTGTAGAATGTCACAGAAATGTAAATGTTGGCTGCACATTATTGTCTGCATTTCCGCATAGGTGATATGTAATATACAAAGCAGCCCTAAACTGTATTTTTCAATGGCCCAGTATGTGGTGCTCAGAACTTTATTTGTGAGTTTGAAAAGTCCCTCAGATCAGGCGGCAAAGTGGATGCTCCTGCTGCAGCATTACCCTGTTTTCTTCTCATTTAAAATAATTAAATCAGTTGGTATGATGTGCGGGAGGGGGAATAAAACACCTTCCAACAATGGGAAGAAAATGTCAGACAGTTCTCCTTGGGTGGGCTCCTTGCTCCTTTTGCCTCTCCACACAATGCAGCCTTTGAAAAATCACCCTTTTTTGTTTTATTTATGAATAAATAATTGCCTTTGCGAAGAATACATCAAATTGCTCTCAGTGAGGTGACACTTTAAGTGAGCTTGTTACTTCTGCCTTTATCCAGCTTTGATTGATGTTTGTGAGAGCTAGCAGCTCCTTCTTCCATTCTCTCCTCACATTGTTCTCCACAGTCACTGGCTGCCATCTCCAACTTTCTTTCAATTTCTTGCTTTCGGCCAGAGTTCAGACCACACATGTGAACTATCTGGAACGTGAGCCAAGGGCTGGGACAGAATATGGAACTGTTTTCATGCTGGCTTGAGTAGAGATGGGAAAAGACATTTTTTTATAGACTACGATGCCAGGAATACTCCAGACATCAGGGCCAGGTTTTTGGACCATGTGTAGTCCTCCCCCCCGCCCCCGAATCTTTGGTCTCAGGACCATATTCTATAGCAGATCTTTTTGTTCCTTTGAATGGAAGTTCCTTGGTCTCTCTCTCCTGCTGCACTCCTAAACAGTGGCAAAAAAAACCTTACTGACAAATGCAGTGCATGGGGAGATCCTAAGACGGAAAACACCATATCCAAAGCTTTACTTGAACCAGCAAAGCAAAAGGGAGGAAGAAGTGGTATCATCTTGTTTTCCTTTTAGTTTGTTCCTCTTTCATAGTTTCTTTTATTATTAATTTAATAATAATAATCTTTGAACTGCAGAGCTGGAAGGGACTCTATGAATCTTTGAGTAGAGCCCCGGTCAAGGAGGCACAGTGGGAAATCGAACTCCCAACCCCTGAATCCACAGCCAGTTACCTAAAACACTGAGCTATACATGGGAAAGTGAGTTACATCAGTCCCATCTCCTTCACCTTTCCTCCTGCTGTCCTGAAATTGCCAGGCATGCCCTACTATGCTATCCTTGGAAAACTTCCTTTCTTTTTGCTGTCTGACACAGGAATGTAGGAAGCTGTCTCATATGGACTCTTGATCCGGCTAAACCAGTCAACTGTGACTGGCAAAAGGCTCTTTGGGGTTTCAGGTAGGACTCTCACTTATCCCTTTCTAGAGATGCTGGATATTCCCTGGTGGTATCCTATTCAAGCAGTAACCAAAACTGATTTTGCTTAGCTTCCAAAATTCAATGTGTTCTAAGTCTTACAGTGATATTACACCAGAGAAGCATAGGATGTAGATCCAGCTTGTATAAGACTTTCTGTCTGGACTGTCTCTTTCTCTAAGTGTGTCCATGGTGAGAGGATCTGCAGTTTGTTGTTGTCCCTGAAAAGCCTTTCCAGGGGGCATAGGCTTGCAGCATCACCAAGGAGTGAATTCTATTGAATATAGTGGGGAATTCTAGTTCGTAAGTATGCATATGCCCAGTGTGGTGTAATGGGTAGAGTGACGGACTAGGACTAAAGAGGTGTGGACTCAAATTCCCACTCAAGGATGGAAACTCACTGGGGGAGCAAAATTGATAAAACCACTCCTTAAATATCTGACTTACCTTGAGAGCCCTATTAAGGTCACTATAAGTTGATTCTGACTTGATGGCACATCATGACAGCATTAAAAGTATGCATGGCAC